CCAAATTGCTCTTAAAATCTTATCCACAAGGGGGGTAAAATAAACACCTAAAATCAGAAAATGTAAGGTAGTCTGCATTCTGTAAACACCATGAACCATAGTGTAAGCAAAGTAAGAGGGGTAGGAATTGAACCTATGATTTCAGTGGTATAGGAAACACCCACATGAGGAAACTCTCTCCACTACGCAGGTTAGTACCTTCTCTGCAATTTATGGTCTTCCGTGAACTTGGTTTTTTAAAATATTTTGATAACTATATTTCAATAGAATTTATTTCCTTTTTGAAAATTCTACATTTGCTTAAACATTTAAAAACATTTTTTCTGCAAAGGTGTCCATAGGCTTCACCAAGGCTACCAGATGGGTCTATGACACAAAAGAGGTTAAGAACCCAGAAGATAAGTGACTTTCCTAGGGTGACACAGCCAATATGTGTCACAGTTGGGGCTTGAAGTCAGAACTTTCTGCCTCCTAGGCCGGGTCTCTATACATTATGTTAAGACATAAAATGAAATGATATACAGGTTTTCTTATCATAATCTTCCACAACAATAAAATGTGTACTTATTGCTGAAATCTATAAGCTATATAAATAACACTTTATTACATATTTTCATTTTGGCCTTATATATTTTGGTTTTGATATTTGATATTAGTTTTAAGTTGGTATAGTGAACCTCAGAGAATGGACCTGGAGTCAGGGCCTAAGTTCAAAGCTGGCTTCAGACACTTACTACTTGTGGTGTCCTGGGCAAGTCACTCAACTCTGCCTGCCTTGGTTTCTTTATCTGTAAAATGGGAAGGAGAAGAAGAAGAATACCTACCTCCAAGAGTTGTTATGAAGAACAAAGGAGATATTTTTAAGTGCTTTGCAAGCTTTAAAGTGATTTATAAGTGCTTTGTTATTCATTCAGTCATGTCTAACTCTTCTTGATCCTGTAAACCTTAGCACACCAATACTGTCCATGGGTTTTCTTGGCAAAGATACTGCAGTGGTTTGCCATTCCATTCTCCAGTGGTTTAAGGAAAACAGAGGTTAAGTGACTTGCCCAGGGTCACACAGCTAATCTGAAGCCAGAGTTGACTTTGGTCTTCCTGCTTTCAGGTGCACTTGACCACCCAGTTGCCTCTTGTAAGTGTTAGCTATCATTATTAAAAAGCCACAATGACACTGGTGTGGGCTCTCCCACTAATAATCCGACTGGAGCCCTGTTAATCTTTAGTACACAGTCTCTTAAGTGTCTATAGTCAAAATAATTCACTATATGGTAGCCAGGCTTCTGGAGGGTAGCTGGAATGGACCTAAAACATCATTTATCCAGTCTATCTCCTTTCATTTTACAAATGAGGAAAGTGAGGCCCAAAGAGATGAATTGATTTGCCCATAGTTAATTAATATCAGATTTGAGATCAGAACATAGATCTTCTGGGTCTTCCCCTTCCCCGCTCCAATATTGTGCTACATCTTGGCCCACCCTCTTCCCTTCTCCTTGGTCTCCTCTCTCAAACTGTCTCTCAGCAATCCTCCAAAAACTCCTTTTGTAGAAGGAAACTGCACCCTCCAACCCTGATCTCCTGTCATCCTGATTTATATCTCGCCACTGGACCTAGATGGCTCCAGAGGAGAAAGTGAGGCTGGTGACTTTGCACAGCCGTCCCTCACTTAAATTCAATTCGCTTGCATGTCATGGCATCACCTCCCTGATATCATGGTCCTCTTAGAGAACAAAAAACAAACAACAACCACAAGCTACATCTTAACACTCAGTAAAACTCAATTAATTCACATGGTCAACTAATGGTTACTGATATTACTAAGGAGGTTGTGGGATGGAAAGATTAGCCAGCAGGAAAAATTTCATTTCTGAGGCAGCAAAGAGTAGTGTATGGAGGGCCAGATTTGGGGTGGGATAGATCTGAGCTCAAATTCCACCCCAGACACAAACTGACCATGGAACTCTGAGCAAATCATTACTGTCTCTGAAGTGAGGGATTGGAGTAAATGGTCTCTATGATCCCTTCCAGCTCTAAATTTATGGTCCTGTGATCCCATTTGATGTGAAAGACAAGAGCTAGGTGAAAGTGGGCACTTTCCTTCTGTGGAGTACAGGAGGGACGGAATCTGTGCGAATTAAAATTTTGCCATCAGGGGGAGCCAATGGTTTCACAAACCACAAAACCTAAAAACAAAAGGAAAAAGTGTCTCTTTGTAATTATTAACTTAAAGCAGAGCCTGACCAAGAGTGAATTTTTGTCTTGTCAGGTTGAGGTCTACTCGAAAATGAAATTTCTCAGAAAAAAAAATTAGGGAAGAAAAAGGTTCTTGGAAGCACAGTTTTCTGTGCCATTGAAACCAGAAGTTGGCTGATATTTAAATACTGGCAGTCATATTTGACAAAGATGAGTAATCTAGCAACAGAAACAAGAAAACTTCATTAAGGATAAAATCAAGTGTGGGGATCTATTACTTTGATTCCTGCCCCCTCCCCAGCATGTCAATAGACATACCTCATATATATGTATATATATATATACATATATATATACATATATATACATATATATGTATAGTAATAGATAACATTTATCAGGATTTTAGTCATATTATCTCAGATGAGCCTCACAAAAGCACTGAGATGGGTACTACAGGGATTATCATCCTCATTTTACAGATGAGGAAACTGAAGCTAAGAAAATCACAGAATTTCAGAGGTGGAAAGAACCCCACAGGCCATTTGGTCCAGCCCATGCTGGACCAAACTTTATCTACCATATAACCAATAAGATCTTAGCCTGTAAGCTCTGGTTCTAAAAGAGAGGGAAAATGTGGAATCGTCCAGCCCCCATCTAGCAGAGTAATAATTACAGTTATCTGTTCTCTGCCTCAAAATGGCTTCATGGCAGCAGTAGGATGCTACTTGTTCTTTTTTCTTTCAGTAAAGATCAGGACCCTTGGCCCACACCATTCTCCTTTTGTTCTCCATGAGGAGGTACCAGGTTGGGGTAAGAAGGAGGGGGTTGTGAGCTGTCGAGATGAGCTACTGTGATATGCAATAACCACCAACATGAATAACATATAAATTGACTAAACCAAAGCAACTGATTTTGTGGACACTTGATTCCCTATCTGATTAGCCCATGCTTAGAAAAGATCATGGAAGGTTCACAGAATTTAGAACTGGAAAGGAATCTCAGAGATTATTTAATCCAATTTACTCCATAAGAAAACTGAGACTCTACAAGGTTAATTGAATTGGGCCTAAGGTCACAGAGCTAGTATCTGATGATCATGCAACTAGTGAGTATTAAGGCAAGATTTGAACTCAGGCCTGCCCGATTCCAAGACCAGCAGTTTGTGCCATCTACCCCTTATCCAATAGATGAGGAAATGGAGGCCCAGCTTCCTGCCCCTCACACAGCTAGACAGTATCAGAATCAGGACTGGAACTCAGGTCTTCTGACTCTAGAACTAGTATTCTTTCTAAGACACCATGTGTCCTTAGCTTCTCCTGCTTTGATTCCATTAGATTGCAAGCTCCTTGAAGGCAGGAATTGTCTTTTGCCTCTTTTTGTATTCTTATCACTTAGCACAGTGCCTGGTACATGGTAGGCACTATTAAGTATTTATTGATTAATTGATTGATTTACTGAGGCTTAAACCGAGCAGCAAGGGGGAAAAAATTCTAACTCTAGGCAAACATCTCTCTTATTGAATGCAAAAGGCATGAGGAGGGACATCCGTCCCATTCAACGTCAAGACTGGAATACAACAAGCACCCTTTTACTGTCCCTGGCATTACTGAAGAAAGCTCTAGGGCATAAGAAAAGCACACTTCAAAATCTAACAGCACCAAAGCAAAAACTCAGCTCCATGTGATCATGAAGTCATCTGTCTTCACCTAACATAATCCATCTCCTTGTTATCCTCTTTCTCTTCCAGTGGATGCTTTTATGGGGTGGTTCTCCCTCTGACCTTTCAAATGTGAAGACACATTGGGCAGTGACCACATTGAGGATAACAATTTTAGGTGAAGAAGGGGAAAATATGTCGCATGAATTTGAACTATTTTATTTAGACTTTACCTTTTTACTTGGCCCTCACATAGTTCTTTGTAATAGGGACACATAAAAATCAACCAAATCACCAATATCAGGGAGGGGGGGGGGGGATAAGCAATGTAATTGATATCCCCTGACTTTTGTGTTTATGAATAAATAAATGGAGACCATAATGATGTGAAGGCAAAAAAAAAATTTCATAGAATCAGAGAATTTCAGAGGCAGAGGGATCTTGGAGAATCACCTAGTTCAACCCCATCATTTTACAGATGAGGAAAGTACGGCCCAGAAAAGTAAACTGAGTCAGAGGATCTTGGATTTGGAATTGACTTCAGAAGTCACTCATTCAAACCAAGCCCTGCCTGCAGCATGAATCCTTTCTACCGTATCCCCAGTGAATGACTATCATGCCTTCATTTAAAAAGCTCCAGAGATACCTTCCTATCTCCAACGGCAGCCATTTGGGAACAACTATAATGATTAGGAAAGTCTTCCGTAAATTGAATTAAAATCTGCTTTCCTGTAACTTCCATTCATCGGCCCTAGCTCTTCCCTCTGGGACCCTGCAGAATAGAATTTAATCTTCCAAATGACAGTCACCTTTCAAATATTTGAACATTTAGACATCGTGTAAGTAGTTAATATTGTATCTATTTTTTTTCACAGTTCTATCCAATACACTTCAATTTTCACTCTTTTAAGGTGATATAGGATGGTAGATTTTGGTCTAGAAAGGGAAGGTATGGGTTATACATTGATATTTGATGTAGTTTCTAAATCATGCAATTATTAGCAGTTCTTGTGACTTTCAGTGGAACTAAAACCTCAGTTTGAAAAGTTATTCATTTTCGAGACACCTTCCCAAATGGCTTTGCCCTAGACTTTGTTCCTAAATAGGGTGAGAAAGATTAGAATACCCATGCTTTGAAAAATATACTTACACAGTAATTCAGTTTCTTTCCAAAGCTACGAAAGTCCTCAATGAAGCCCATCTCTTTGTTTGATGGAAACGGAAGGTGCCCAAGAACGTCTTCCATGAAAAACGAAAGCAGTTGCTCTCGAAATTGGCAGCTTTTCTATAATCCAAACAAATGAGACATTGCATTAAGTTTACCACTGATGGCCAGTTCTTGCCCCTATGTCACCCTTCCAACCAATACTTCACTGGAACACTGAAGGAACGGATGCTGACCCCCTAAGAAGTATCAAGTGTTGCCTGGTTCCTGCCCTAGCAACATCTTTCTAGTCATTAGGGATTGCTTCCCTTGTGGGATTGAAGGTTAGATGATTAATTCTTTAAATACCAAACAAGTAGAAAAATAAAATAAGAGAAAGGACTCCCAGGCTTACCATGAACAGACTTTTGGTTTTCTTTTTTAGCAGCTTTGTGTTTTTGATGCTGTCTGCCTACAACGGAACAAATTGAGGTTAGGTCTGCCCAGTACACACCATGATGTCCGACAATGTTCTGGGTCATTGTTCATTCAAAAAAGTTTAATACTTACTGGTACAGATGCTTTGAATCCCATGGCCTTGATGAAGAGGATGTCAATCACTCTGGATAGGGTTTCTTTATGACAGCAGGCCGTGGTGGAACGAGGTGGTTTGCTTTCAACAACGACCAAATGCGGAATGATAAAAAGCAGCCCAGAACACAAAATATAATTCACTTGCATTTCCGCACCACCACCACCACCCCAACCCAAAACACTCACAAAGACACTGGCCTTGTGTCACTCTTAGCAGCCTGAGTTACTTCAGGTTGGTTAGATGATAAAGGATAACCTACTTATGTAAACCCCCCTCCCCACCAAGCTTCTCCAATGAGATGCAGCTAAAGATAACTTCGAGCTTGTAAATAGGAAGATCACTCTAGTTGCTCGCTCTATTTTTATATGACTTGTTTCACAATCAAAAAAAAAAAAAACTGACCTCACCATGAGTGGCAGTTAGGTAAAAGCCAACTCTAAATTTACTGGTAATGGTCAGGCCATCATTTCCACAAAATGAGGGTTTTTAACGGCATTCTGTAAAAGACGTCACTGTCGTAAAGGCCTCGTACACATCACTCAAAAAAGGGCTACACAAGGAGGCCACGCGATAATCAAGAAATGCCACATACAATCTGGAGTTGACCAAATTGGACGATGACCTATGAGTTTTCTCCCAACTCAGAGATTCTAGAATTCTATGAACTACTACAAAGGGAAGCCAGGAGAAATCTACCCATTGGCAGTCCCAAGTGACAAAACTCAGACAGCTTCACATTTCTCCCCTCTCCATATTCCAGGAGTATGGAATCTCAACTTTGGAAGGGACCTCAGAAACCATCAGGAGTTCCTAACCTTTGTTATATTACACACCTCTGGCAGTTTAATGAAGCCTTCTGACCACTTCTCAGAATCATGTTATTAGAAATATTAAGTAAAATACTGGGATTACCAAGAAAACCAATTATATTGAAATAAAATCAACAAAAAACAAGTTTTTGGACCCCAGCTTAAGAACCACTGATCTGGTCCAAACTTTACCTGAACAATAATCTTCTCTACAATGCTTTTAATAAAGATCTATGTGATTTTTGCCACGACGCTTCTAAGACAATTCCAAAGGACCCATGATGAAAAATGCTATCCACTTCTAAAGAGAGAACTGTTGAATTCAGTGCAAATAGAAGCATACTTTTTTCACTTTTATTTTTCTTGCTTTTTTTTTTCAACATGGTTAAAATGGAAATATGTTTTGGATGTTTATATGCATGTTGTTGTTTAATCAGTTTTCAGTTGTAGCCAACTCTTTGTGACCCCTTTTGGGTTTTTTGGGGGGAGGTTTTGGCAAAAACACTGGAGAGGTTTGTCATTTCCTCCTCCAATTCATTTTACAGAAGAGGAAACTGAGGCAAACAGGGTGAAGTGACTTGTCCGGGGTCACACAGCTAGTAAATGTCTGAGACCAGAGTTGAGCTCAGGTCTTTTTGACTCCAGGCCCAATGCTCTATCTACTGTACCACCCAACTGCCCTCTTTACATGCATAATTGATATCGTATTGCTGGCCTTCTCAATGAGTGGGGGAGGGCTTGGAAGAAGGGAGAGAATTTGGAACTCAATTCTACTTAAATGAATATTAAAAATAAGTAAATAGAAATTGAAAAAGAAGACCTCTAAGAGAAAGTGGTCCTTTCCTCTACTTTTCAAGATAGTCATTCTACTTTGGAATCGTTCTGATTGTTTGTACATTTTACTTACATTAAAAGAAAATCTATCTTTCTGTAACTTTTACCCATTACTCCTAGTTCTTACCCCTGAGGTCAAGCAGTACAAGTGTAAACTCTTTCTACATGCCGCCCCTTCAAACGCGCAAAGCCAACCATCAGGCCCCACTATCATCATCTCTCTCCAAAACTAAATCTCCTCAGCACCTCCAACTGATGCTCTTAAGACAGAAAGACAGTCAAGGCCCTTTGCCATCCTCATCATTCTATTCTTTTCTCAAGCAAAGAGCTTTGCATTTTTTTAGATGCCACAACCCCTGTGACCTAGCAAAAGAGAAATATTTCCTGCCCTAGTTGAAAAAGTTATGAGGCCCTGAAACATAAATACCTAAAACATGTCATGATTTATTTAGCCCTGGTGTGATAGCCTGCAAATTAAAGGGTTTTTTTTTCCTTCTTCGTGTCCCTTTTAACATAATGCCCAGACTTTTCCCCTAGCCCTCTCTCCATACCATGAGAAGCCTCTCTATCAATCAGTATTTCCTTTAATTCATTCAAACAAATAATATCAAATGCCACTCGGTTTAAAAAAAAACACTATACTAAAAGAGAGATAAAGATGAATATGACATGGTCCTTGCTATCAAAGAAGTTGTAATCTAAAAAGGGAAATAAGCAGGCATATGCTATAAATGTTTAACAACTAACTCTCCGAGGGAAAAAATGTACACAGGACACACTTTTGAGCTTAATATATATTATTAACATTTTCTCCATCACTTTCTTAAGTCTAGACAATCAACAGAACAATAAAACAAGCCATGATTTCAGCATTTGCTGATTCACTAGATGTGAACGTTCACACTAAAAATTTAACAATTGGCTGACAAATACAAACTGACCCCAACAGCAGAGGTGTTCAAGTGGAGATGGAACGACTACTTGTCAACGATGCCATAGAAAAGATTAAAACTTCAATCAAAGAGTTGGAGCAGGGATCTCTGAGGTCTCTTTCACCTCTGGGATTCTCCAATGTGAAAAAGTAACCACATCAACAAAATATGGATATGGATAGATTATATAAACAGATTCCAGCATAGGAAATCTTTTACATCTAGAAGTATATTTTGTCTCCCTTCAGCATGGTTATGTTGGAAGGTCATACAGTAATTCCAATAATACTTCCATTGATTAAAACATTTTCTGGAGCACCTTGGGAATTGACCTCAAAAGCTAAGCAAAATCTTTTTTGTGTGTCTTCAGTGCTGACAAATGTTCCTCCTTTGAAGATAAATTTCATTTTGTGAAATGTGACGAAGTTATTCAGGACCAAGTCCAGTAAATGAGGTGAATTATCAAGTTTGAGCATAGATCTTTGGGATTAAGAAATAAAACATAAAACATAGATTGTAAAGACATTTTCTTGTGTTATTGATTCAGTAAATGACTCGAAAGTGAATGCTGAGGAATGAAAACATTGTTAGAATAAGCCTACCACCTTTCGACGTGATTACTTCAAAGCACAGTTTTCACATGGTGATGTAAGTTCTGGTATGTTTGCTTTAAGAAGTCACAACACTTTCCAGTCACATTGTGTAGAAAAGTTTATACTAATCCATTAACGGAAATTTTCTTCTCATGCTGATTTATAGTTAATATCTCACAACTAACAGATGTATTTTGAATACTCAAACATACAATAAAGGTCAACATGAGTTTTCGGTTCCTCTGAGGAATGATTGAAGGAAATTATATTTAGCTTAAAAAGATGAAGCCTGGGGCAGCTAGGTGGTGCAATGGCCCTGGAGTCAGGAGGACCTGAGTTCAAATCTGGCCACACACACATAACACTCACTAGTTGTGCGACTCTGGGCAAGTCATTTAACCTCAATTGCCTCACATTAAAAAAAAAAAAAAAAGCTAGAGCCTTAGTGGGGATGTGCTCAAATGTGAAGATGCAGTCATAGAATCACAGATTCACAGCCTCTTTAGACAGGACTTCAGTAGTCATTCTGATGTTGTTATTGAATCTTTTCAGTCATGTCCAACTCTTCCTGGCCCCATTTGAGGGTTGTTGTTTTTTGGTTTGATTTTTTTTTCTTGGCAAAGATACTAGAGTAGTTTGCCATTTCCTTCTCCAGCTCATTTTACAAATGAGGAAACTGAGACAAACAAGGTTACATGACTTGCCCAGGGTTACATAGCTCATAAATGTCTAAGACCAAATTTGAACTCAGGAAGATGAGTCTTGGCATCTTATAACCTTATAACATCATTCGATTTCTCTTGCCCATTTCTAATTTAAAAAAAAAATGAGTCTTCCTTCTTTCAGGCAGAATCCACTACCTCAACCACATTGCTCTCTCAGTAATCCATTTTAGTTCTAGATAGCTTTCATTTGGGAGATTTTTTTTTCCTCCAATAAGCCTAAATTCAACTCTTTTTGACTTCCAATTCAATGTAATTCAACAAACATTAATTAAGTACATACTATGTGCAAAGTGCTGGGGAGACAAAGGCAAAAAAAAAAAGACAAAGTTTTTGCCCTCAAGGAACTTACTGTGTACTAGAGGAAAGCATGTGCATATGGATAAGCTGATATTAGACAAATGCAAAATAAAAGTCTTAGTAATTTCAGTGGTTGGGGGGGATGGGAGTAGGGGGCAAGGACCATTAACAACTTGGGAATGGGGAGTAAGTCAGAAAAGGCCCCTTGCAGCAAAAAGTACTTGAGTCTGAGCCTTGAATGGAGTGAGGTGAGAAGGAAATGAATTCTTTGTGTAGGAGGAAAAACTATATGAAGACTTGGAGGTGGGAGGTATAAGGTTAGAAGTAGAATATTGTGTATAAGCAGGGGTAGGCTGGTAAACAACCAGCTCTTGGGTTTTGGGTGAGTGGGGGGGGGGGGGTGATGTACCTATGACACACTTTTAAGTTTAATTTGCATTGTTAACATTTTTTCCAAAGCTTTCTTAAGTCTAGACAACAAAACAATCAAGCAAGCCATGATTTATGGTATTTGCTGATTTTTGAAAATTTAACAAGTGGCTTTTGTGGGTTACTCTGAGCTCGCCTCTAGCAAAATACTGTATATAAGAAACAGAAAATGGGCCAGTTCAAATGAAATATTGAGTAAATGAAGGGAAATAATGTGAAATCTGTTTAGAAAGATAAATTGAACTAGATTACAAAGGGTTTTAAATGGCAAACAGGGGAGTTTGTATTTTATTCTCTAGGTAATAAAGCTTCTGAAGCTTCTTGAGCCTAGAAATGGCATGGTCATATCTTTGCTTTAGGACCAGGAATTTGGCAATTGGGTGGAATATTATCAGAGAGAAGGGACTGGAGGCAGTGAGACCAATTAGAAGGCTATTAAATTCAAACCCAGCCTCAAACTCTTACCAGCTTTGTAACCGTGGGCAAACTCTTAACTTCTTTGTGCGTTAGTTTCCTCATTGGTAAAA